GTCACCGGCGCAGCCGCTCCCGTCACCGTCGCCGCCGCTGCCGTCACCGTCGCCGCCGCCGTAGCCGCCGCCGCCGCTGCCGTCACCGTCGCCGCCGCCGTAGCCGCCGCCGCGCTGCCCACGAACATTAACCAAGCGCTCAATCGCGGGCTCCTAGGCTCCCGGCCGCCGCCGCCGCCACGCGCTGCAACATGAGCCAGTGCATGGCCGCGGCCAGCAGCACCATGAGCACCGCGAACAGCGCCCGCAGGGACATGTGCGACCAGCCGTGCGCCACATCCACCGCCCCCCTGAGCTCCAGGGAGGCCCGCTGCTCGGGGCTGACGCGGTGAGCCCACGCCTCGTGAAGCTCGTACACGTCACGGAGCGCCTTCGTGGTGCGAGTGTGTGTGTATGTGTGTGTATGTGCGTGCGCATGTGTGTGTATGTATGTGTAGGCAAGGGAACAAAGGGGGATTAGGGAGAGGGCGTGTTGCGCGGGTAGCGGGTGGGGTGCATGTGAAGGACTTATAATTACCAACAACGAGGGGGGAAAGAGCTCGTAGCATGAAAATCAGTAGTAAATTGAAAAGCCCTAAAACCCTAAAACCTTAAAACCCTAAAACCTTACTTATTGCGCAGCTGGCTGCTAGCTAAACTAAGTCGCTTTCGTAGGTGCGCGTCCTTAGGCCATCAGTCACCTTCGTTGTGATCTAACGCGAACACCTTATTAAACCCTAAAACCCCCGATAGAATTTCCTAAGCCCTGACGCCCCTGGAGTACTTTCGCTCGCAAACTCCCCCATTCTCTCGACACATGGATGTTTCTGTTTTCCACCTACCAACTCCCAACCAACTTACCCGCCACACGTTGACTCCGCATTTCATGCCGCTGCCCACTCCAATTTGTAACACTCGCTCTCCCTTCTTGATGCCGGTGGTGGTCTCCACACAGGCCAGCGTGTACCACGTGGTGCTGTCGTACAGGGAGAAAGCAAAATAAAATAAAATAAAACAATTAAAGATGTTTAATTAAGAATTCAGAAATATTTATCCATAATTGAAGGATATGGATAATAGGGATATGGATAATAGGTAATGTTAATAGATCTGTAAAGTCCAGGAAGCGTTAGCTGTAGGTAGAGACGAAGAGCAGAGCCGTGAATAAGATTTGAATTTCTTCAAACGAAAACCATCATACTTCATCAAAGGAGGCGTTGGGACCAGAAAGGAAACAAACGGCGAAATCTGGAATTAGCGATTGCAGAAAAACGAATGATGCGGTACAAGGGGCTCCTCCATTCTAATCCGGGTCAAATGTGCCGTACAACACACCTACCTGCTGCTAATGTTGCCGTAGTCGTGCAGTACGGTACGGGATGGCGCCAGCTTGGTGTCATCCAGCTGAAGCGCCTCACCCAGTCCATCTAATACTTTGGCACCGCCTGCGGGATTTTACTTATAGCTGTTATGTGTATATAATAAATAGTATATCAATAATGATGTAAATACGGCACTGTCGGTCCAATGCTGGACGTTTAGTGTGGATAGTCAACTGCATCCCGATGCGAGTCAGTTGCCAATCATCAACCGCCACAACCGAAATCCACAAGATTCACAGCAACTTATCTGCGTCAGTCTTAAAAAAGAAAGAGACAAGTCAAAATACCAAACAATACGCTTTTCCCGGTCCTTCCCCCCCTTCACCCCCCCGACCCCTCGGGGGGAACCCACCCGCGTGCAACAGGAAATGCCTGACGGTGGACTGCTGGAAATTTGGCCTGTACGGCGGCCGGGACGACGGCGGCGTGGCGCTGGCCTTCACGTCGGCGGAACCTTCCCGGGACGTTGATTCAGCGCCAGTGGCGGCGGCGGCGGCGGCGCCGGCGGAGGATGCGGCGGAGCAGGCGGCATCGACGGGGCCGGTGGGGGCAGCTGCAGCGGCGGCTCGGCCATTATTGCTGCTGTCCTCAGATCCGCTGCCGCCGCCATTGCCACTGCCGCCGCCACCGCCGCCGCTGCTGCTGGTGTTACTCGGACCGCCGTCAAGCCGCCGTTGGCGGCGCCGGCCCGCGGCCTCTCGACGGCGCTGCAGCATATCCACCGCCGCATCCGCCAGCTGCCGCCAAGTCAGCACGTACGGCGCAACCTGTACGATGCATGCGGTCGGCCGTACATCCTCCTCGCTTAACGAACAACCAATCGACATCATAAAAATCAGACCCTCCATTCCGTAGATTCATTACATTCCGTACATTCAACCATCTCGCGTACTATCCGTACAACTTCTTCCCACACCTAATTTATAAACAAAAACAAAGGCTTTCATACCTTTGTCATGGCATCGCCCAGCGCCCTGCTCGCCTCCTTTACGACGTTCTTCCCCAGGTAGATCCCGTTCTTGCCTTTGTCGTCTGGGCTAAAGTGAATGGCTCTGCGCGCTCGCAAGCAGCAAAGGTGACAGCAAAGATGAGCTGATAAATGAGTGAAATCCAGTGAAAAAATGAAGAAAAAGGAAAATCAAAAACATATTCGCGCAATGGTTTCGGAGAACTAAAATAATCGTCAATCTCCGCTCGCGCGAATGTGAAGGTCGAATGTGAGGAGTCCGATAGGTTGTGTTTTCCTCCCATCCAACGTCTCGCAACAACTACCGGAAAAAATTCGCAGGAAAATAAAGAATATGCTGAGACCGGGGGGTTTCAGCATTGGCAGCATTAAAACACCGTTTCCGATATTTACTCCCTTCCTTTCCCCTCTTCCCTTCTGCTTACGTGAACGCCTCGTCGTTTTGTCCCGAGTGAACTCGTACTCGTCGCAGTAGCTGGTACTTGGCACCGCGACCCTGTGCCCCGCGACCCGTGGGTCGCGCCAGGGAGGCCTTGTTTGTGAGCAGCATGGCGGCGGCGCCCATTCTGAAGAGCAGGTTGGTCACCAGCCTGTGGCGCTCCACCCCCCAGTAGTAGGCAGGGGTGGTGATCTCTGTCGTGATGAACAAGGCGTTGCTGTTGGGGTGGGCCTGGCGGGGGGTAGTAAGGGGAGGTGGGGGGAGGTGTGTGGAAAGACGAACCACGTGAACGAGTGAAGCTGCTGCTAAGGAAAGAGTTTACGAGAAGCAGAACTGGGCGTGGGGAGGAAGGTATGGGGGGAGTGGGGGGTAAGGTGGGGGTTTGCAAGGACATCCGAGAAACCCTTCGGGAAAAGGAGAGATGATTGGTGTTGTTTTCATATTTATAAAGATGAAATCCAGAAAAAATGTTCTTTAAAGGAAATCCTCTCAAATTTCCCCATTCATCTCGCATCCGAAGCACCATCTCACCGCCAGCAAATCAGCGACCAGGTTGATTCCCACCACACCGTTGGAGCAGCCCATGCCGCCAAGATGGTACGACTGTACGTCCTTACGTAATCCAAAAGCGTTGACCACCATCGACGCCATGGACGGCGTGGGGCAGTAGATGGAGCACGTGGTGATCAGGATGTCGATGTCGGTCGGTGTAAGCCCCGTCTGTCGGCGTATCGAAATCGAGGGTGAACCCGTCGCGGGTTGAGGGGGCGAGGGTGTGTATGTATGTATGTATGTATGTATGTATGTATGTATGTATAGCACGGTGATACAACGTCAAGAGGTGATAACGGCAAAAACGACAAACGAACCCAACGACATCACCTAAAAGCATATCCAATGACATCCTTGTCGCAAAAAAATGTAATGTACAAAAATGGGTTAGCGAAAGGGAAATAATGTTAAATAAAAAACACTTATCTTTATATGAAACACGTTAACACACACAAACACCCGAAGGGCCTTTTCTATGATCACATCACAAATCGCAGCACATTGATCGCCCAGGCCATATGTCCTAAACAGGCGCTCCAAAATAAACCACCTCACCTTTTTGAACAACCCCTCCACCGCGCCGCATACCGCCATCCGACATTCCTTCGACGCCGAGTCCAAATCTGTGAGCAGGTCGGGGCCCACAAAGGCCGGATTGAGCATGGGCGGCAGGTAGGTCTCCGTGGGCGAGAGGCCGCTGCGCGCAAAGACACGCGCTTGGAAGTCGACCAGGTCGGCGTTGTAGCGCTGCGCAGGTCGTCAACAACAGAGCCGTAGGAACCGACAGGAGAATGGTGGCGGTTGCGGGGGGGGGGGAGAGGAGAGGAGAGGAGCGGAGCGTATTTTGTTCGCGGGAACACTCGACACGGCGAAACAAGGCGCTCGAATCCCTCACATTTTTTAAAGATTTTTTAAAATTTTACAACCCTACTAAGCTATGAAGAAGGTACACAAGCTCGTGTGCCCAACCGAAACTCCACAGCATCCAGACCAACCGCTTCTTCATTCCATCCCACCCCGGACTCACTCCGCAGTCTATCCATGCCTGGACGACCTGTTTCTGATCCAACTAGGCTCATCGGAAAGAGTGAGGGGGGAGAGCGAGGCGCGGGGAGGGGGACGGCGAAAGAGGGGAAAAAGGGGAGGAAGGAATTTTCTTCGTACATTCAGTGTGGGGGGATGAAGGAGAGGTCGGGAGATGAGGAAGCCCAAAGGCAAGCTGGCGAAGAAGATGAAGGGAAGCCATAGCCTTCTCAAAAAATACATAAAAAGTTGCAAGTTAAGAGGGATCACGTTCGTAAATATCGGGGGGGGGTGTCGGAGCGACGAGAACGGGTCGAGGCTCGGAATCGTGGGGTGGGGAAGTAAAACAATACGAGACCCGGGTAAGAGCAGCACCCGGAAAAACGGATCATGGCGGTGCAGGCGCGGACGGAATACGGTGACGGCCCACACGGTGCCGCCCTTCAGTAACACACACACTTCTGTGTGTGCGGAACGTAGTAAGGGCTTTAAGAAGTTGTGGCGTGAGAGCCGGAAAGCGGCACGAAGGAAGTTAAGTTCCTGCGGCGGTGCTGGGGCGGTGGTGGTGGCAGTGGTGGTGGCAGTGGTGGTGGTGGTGGTGGTGGTGGTGGTGGTGGCGGTGGCGGCGGTGTGACCCTACCAGCCGGTCATCAACGCCACCAAACATATACATACATATCGGACAACATGATGACATCGTCCTACATCACCCGGGTGGAGCTAAGATGACGGTTACAGCTATATATATTCGCACCGCTGCTTCTGGTGTGGGTCTCAGTGTCACATCAGTCGGCGATCTGGTTCCCAACATGCACGACTGGAAATTCCACCATGTTTCGCATCACATGTGCAATCTTCCGCGCTCCTCATGCGCTGGAGGAGACGCCGCGCAAAAAAGCCCCGCCGGCTAGGACCCGTACGCCATATGAGCGTGTGAGCGTTTTCCGGTGGGCGCGGGCGCTCGCTGGTGTGCGATGTTGCGAGGGCGTGATCGCCAATTCTTCCACCGTTAACAACACCATTACAACGGCCATTTGTTGTGCCAGAATGGCGCCAAAATGCGCATGAAAGCCGCATACAGTAACCCAGGAAGATGAAGATGAAGATGAGTGTGGTAGAATCGTGTCAGTGGACATGTAAAGCATGCCGTGATTACTTGCTGCATGTGGCTGGTTGGGGGTTGGGCGCGTGCGTTGCAAGGCACCAATTAACCTAGGATGGCATGTGGAGGGACGGGACGGAGTCGTCAGGACAACATGGTAATGAAGCCTGACTTGCCTTGAAGGACTCCGGAGGCTTGTACACGTTCAAGTCATACAAATAAACCTTCTGGCGTCCAGAGAATGATAGCATTGACGCCATGGCACCAGGACGGCGAGAAGACAGAAAATGAGCTCAAATGAGGGCGACGGGGTCCCGTGGGTCGCTGCAATGAATACTATACTATCCTTCCCCAAAGAAGGACAACTTTACAACAGCGACGTGCAATACTTCAGCTTGACAAGTAGTGCTCGAATGTCAACTTCTTGTATGACTATTTCCTTCCTGTGAGACAGCTTTCTATCCTCGTACGGCGGGGTTAAATGACGATCGCCCCTCGAGCCGACTAGGTCGACTTCACGATCCAATCAATAATTGAGTACGAGGATGTTTTGTTGAGCTCGTCACCTTGCTTTTGAGTCCAAGGTTAAATCGTGGTCGCAACGCATTCTGTGGCGGTAGCACGTTTCGTATTAATATATTTCGCGGAAGTCCAAGGTACCTATCGTATACTGTGTACATGGCTACTAGGACACAAAGCATGAACATCATCTTCACGTAAACATTTTGCGAGTGTGGTTCTGGAACATAATGTATGACATCCGAGACCTCAGAGATCATACCCAAAATAGGAACAATGCCCACCCATTCTTGCAGTTATACAACACAGGTCGGGCTCAAGTGAGGTGTAGCCCACTGAATTACACGATAAGCGACTTTGACACAAAATGTCAAGTAACACGCGCACAGGAGTGCCCAATTAATGTTAATGCAACATAAGCGATCCCTGTAGTAACCCACAAAGGACTCGGAATTCAATGCATAAACATACTTCGAATACAGCCCCTGAGTGGAGCCTCCGTAGCACAGGGGCTGTATTCGAAGTATGTCCGTGCATTGAATTCCGAGTCACATCAAGAAATACATTTCCAAGGCAGAAGTAGTTTGTGGGTTACTACAGGGATCGCTCATGTTGTATTTAACATTATTTGGGCACTCATGTGCGCATGTTACTTGACATTTTGTGTCAAAGTCGCTTATTTCAACATGCACAACACATGCACAACAGTAGCAAGCTTGGTTGGTTAACGGGACAGCTGTCCCCTCGGCAATTGGACGAGCGTACTGCAGGTAATGTCCTGTTGCTGTATGTTGGCCTTTTTTCGTTGTCCATGTATCTTGCGTATTCCTAAAAGCAATCCTATAACCTTATTGTTAACAAGGTGCTGTGCTCATATACGCGTGAAAGGAAGAGATCTTGCCAAGAATGCCGTCACAAAGCCAATCTAGCACTCTCGTCGCGCGCGGAGGACGCAGTGGTGTTGGGGCGCCATCTGGAGCTACTGGGAACGTGCTTCGGCGGCGACCAGGTGCGTCTTTAAGACATAGTCGCTACAGCAGATGCTTAATTCGGTCAGGTTGAGCTCAGGAGCCCACTTTGCCGACAGGCCGCGTGGGCGGCAGCGGTGGTAGCAGCAAGGCGCAGCAGAATACAATGAACTTCTACACGGATGACTCGCCGGGCTGGAAGATGTCGCCGGTAAGAATAGTTGCGATCTGGGCGGCCAGTTGATTTGGGACGCGTGTGGTGACGACCTTTTTATCTTCTGTAGGTCGTTGTCATTACTATGAGCCTTGGCTTCATTGCCTTCGTGACGATTCTTCACGTGGCTGGGAAGGTGAGGGGTTTGGGGACAAGCCGGGTAGTAAGTGGGTCCGAAGCCTGGCTGTCGCACGGGTGCATCAAGGCCCAGGGTGTGTGACATAAGGCAAGTTAGTTGAAGATGCTTGCGTTTTGGGGTGCTATAGGTCATCCACTCTATCCTCTTGGCTCGAATTACGCTGAAGGACAGCCAGGGTAATCCTCCGGCATGGTTCATTCAGACGGCTGAATGCCAAACGCACTTCCAGGGATTGGGGCCTGCAGACTCTTTGGCATTCGCTGAATAGGTTACTTGTGCGCCAGGCAGTGGGTACTACTGCTGCGTCCACTCTTACCTCCGTTAAACCTCCGTTATACCTTTGTTTCCCCGTGCAGTTCCAGCGGGCGTAATCACGAGAGCAGCTGGATGACAACGTACGAGGCTGACTTTAACTGACCGATAGGGGACTGTTGATGCTGCATCGGGGCTTAATCCAGGATACTGGTGACTATTACTTGACATAGCTAGGTAGCATAGGGAGTGCACTCCGCGCTTCTGTTGCACAATACGTTACATAGAGCGAAGGCGTTGGCAAAGTGGGTATGCACCGAGCGACTTTTGGAGCAGTGTCTGCCTGGGAATAACCCGAGTCGTATCGGATAATTACTGCTGCAGGAGCAGGAGGAAAGATGCTGTCATTGCAAACCGTCATTGCAAGCCGTACAAGGTAGTTTGACCGAATGATGATGTAATATTGCATGTTATGAAGTCGTGTGCGATAACACCACTTCATGTGATTATGACTTGCGACTGTTACACGAAAAATGTCACACGCGTCGATCAAGAGTTGTCTGCAACCTCCGACAGTCCCTAAACAGAACAGGAAACACCAACACCTGCAAACATCCCCAGCACAAAATTTGGGATAACGTGTCAATGAGATCGTGCATACCAGATAACCTTTTTTATTCCTGAAACAGCATCAAAATGCACATTACCACACAAGAGCCATGAACATTTGTCAACGTCTACACATGTCGTGTACACAACTGTAACGCAAAGCAGGTCACGCCACATGCGGCAAAACAGTGCGTGGTAGTGATGATGATGCAGCTTGAATCCTCACCGTTGTTGGAAGTCGCCACATTATACAACAGGCCTTGAGAGTAGGGTACGTACACGAGCGTTGCTACTGTTCGCCAACAATTTGCAGCGGCACCTTACAGCTGGAGAGGAGCAGATCCTGAAACTGCAATGCGTCGGCTTTTTCATAGAAGGTGAGGGAGAGGATGTGCTGTGGGTCGGTGCAGTCGTAGGCGTCAATAAAGTGGCGCAACGGCTTGCCGATGCGGAATTTCAATACCAGTCCCCTACGATCCAGCTCCGGTGTCAACATATCTTTGAAGTACATCACCTGCGGCGCAACAATGACATCCCATTAAATGCAGCCGCACAGCAACGGTCTGAAACGATTGTACAACTACAACCGACGTACGCTTGGCACGGCTGGATTACGGCAGGGAAGCCTTGTGACCGACTTACTGCCACAAAACTTTGACTTGCACTTCGCAGCCCGCTGTAATAACAACAACTTTGCAGCCGCAGCAAACCTCAAGAAAAGATCATCCGTGCCTCGGTGCTGGCATACATGCACCGCGCGAGTACTAAAACAGACGTGCCGTGCTGTGAAGCCCGCCTGCATCTTAACCCGTCACGCAACAGGCGCACACAGAAGCCGCCATCAGCCATCACGTTTCAAGCATGGCCATGCGTCCCGTGCTTACCATATCGATGCGGCCCTGGGAGCTGTGGCTGAACTTGTATTCAAGGCGATCGGCATACAGCGTCACGACACTTGAAGCATTGCAAGCCGCACGACCCACGACGAAGTCCTTGCAGGTTGCCTTTGCCAGGGGAGCGCCACCACCGCCGCCCTTCCGCTCCTCAACAGCTGACAGGATGGAATTCGTGACTGCCTCGAGCGGTTGGAGCTTGGAAGCCACGCTGAGAAGGTGGGCGCGGGAGATGCAAGTGAGGCACGAATAGACTCGTTTCGCCGTTCGCTTGCCTACTTGCTTGCCTACCTCACGCAGGACTGCTGGTTATGGCATCCTCACAAAGCAATAAAAGCTCCCGCCGCTTACAGGGGGTACCATGACTCACAACCGGATTCGCCTCGTATTTTCACTTCTGACTGGGGATGAAACCGCCCTGCGTGTCTCACCGGGACCCTCGTTCGACATTCATCCCGCCAACATAAATTAATAAGGTGGAAGCCTTCCAATGCGCTGCGTACAACAGTGCCGCCACAAGCTGGCCATCGCGCTGCACCCGCACGGGACGACCCGACCCAAGCAAACTCACTTCCGGTTCAGCTCTTCGGTATCAACTTTTTCAGGTCTCCTCAGGGGTAGCTGTGGTCGACCTGCAAATTCCCAGAGTAAAGTGGGCTACAGTACGAGATGACCTCCAAGCTGAAAGCCTAGTACCTACCTTGCCGAATGCGACCGGAATCCCCTCGGCATGAGCCCGCGCTTCTGGGGACAGACTTCGATCTGACTTGTCTGTATTGTTCACGAGATCTATCTATGGCCTTCTGCTTCAAAGCCCTGTCGATGCGGACCCAGAAAGTCCGTGTAAATAACTTGAACGTCATCATCAGGAGATTCCGTGTAATCATCCTTACTGCAGCATGTCGTTGGTGCTTGCAAGGGAACCAGCAGTGGCAACAGCGATTCCCGATTGGGCATTCGGACTTGGAGCAGGAGCCAGCGCAGGCAAAAATCTTTCTTGGCTTGTGGAAACATCTGATTGCTTGGCTGGCAGAGCTGGTTGGGGTGCAGGCCCTGTTCGGGCAGGCAAAGTCGGAAGCGTACCAGCAGGCAAGCCTGAAAAGGAATTCCGCCGTCGCTGATCAGACATTTCTGCATGTATGGTATCAAAGCAACTCGGAAACTTTGCGGAAATGATATGGCATAAGAAACTGTATGGCACTGTAAGAACCTCCGTACAGAGTCTATTGTTTCAGGTTCGTCGTACGCTGTTCTGTAAGGCACTCCGTACAACAGCGTCCCTTGAGCTCTTCTCCTTAAGCCCCACAGGACAGCAGACTCCAGTGCAGGAGATTTGCAGTTAACGAGCGGGTTGCCAGAAGCGCCCTGAACCAGTGGGCCCAGGGTTGGGCACAGCCTGACAAAATGGAACTGGGGCCTCTGAACCCACAGCATCCTGCATAAAACAGGCCCGAAGCGCTCACCAATAGTGGTCTTAAACCAGATGCAGGATTAATCGTTATCGCACGGCGGCAGCACAAATGAACCGTGAAGTTCACGGAAGAACCAGCTTCAACCCCCCTGAACCCCTGCGACCTGGAAGCCGTCGTCAGTTTCAATTTGGGAAATGAACGTCGAAGGATTCATAGTTTCAGAATGCATAGACGCAAGATTGTTATCGGGGCAAAGTGCCTCCCTCTCCAAGGCACACTAAGACGTGGAGGAGAAAGGAGAATTCCCTTCTCCCGAATCCCTTCTCCCCTCCCCTGCAAATTCTGTCATGACCGTAGAACACGGTGGTTGAGAGTGTCATCCCTAATAAACAAAGCATGACACCGAGAAAGCATCCTATGGGATTCGGGGATTGGAGCTCGGGCACACTGAGGAATCCAGCTCTCGATGTATGTGTAGGTCTCATAACGACCCTAAGTTCTGTCGTAGGAGAGGGTGGGATGAATACGGGGACCCGCACGTGCAATTGTCCCACCCAAACGAATACTCTGCAATTTTCTTATGTATCGCTTTCCCCCACGGTGACCATATGACGTCCAGGGCAACAGTGGCACCGGGGCCGGTCGTCATCCCCGGTGTCACTGTTGCTCTGGATGTTATATGGCCATCGTGAGTGTGTGGGTGTGGGGCGGACGAACGAGTGGGATGGCTCATGAACGCCTGTTCATTGCCAGAAGGTGTGGTATTGGAGTTCAAGGATAGGTCGATGAGCGGTTGGAAGCATACGCGTCTAGATGTGTACCCGTCAGACGGCAAGCAACCAGGAATTCACATGGCGAAGTATAAGCATTGGATGGGTCTGGCGGCCGAGCAAACGAGCAGGTTGGAGGTGCTCCCGCATATTGCAATGTTTATCCCGCGTTCGGCGAATTGCAAGCTTATGCAGTTTAGGCTTTGCTGTTGGGCATTGGCGGCGAACAGAGCGCGCAAGGGACGGGGAACTGAAAGCCATGCTGAAGATGAGAAGCACGTTTTGTTGGATTGTCCGATGTACGACAAAACCAGACCTAATATGGATTTTCTGCGCTTCGAGCATATGGAGGACGCTATAAGTGGGAACCTGAACATCTGGCAAGGATGCTAGACCGTATGTGGACCCACCGCAACCCTTTCGTTCCCTTTCGTCCTTTTAGCCTCCTTCATCACTTGCTTTGTCTGAAGTGCGAGGTAGGACGGTGCTTATAGGCGATCTGGCACCCCTTGAGCCCTCGGCTCGTATTGGGCGGTTTGCAGGTACGGGAAACGCACCCGCACGTTGGATGCCGGTGCCACCGGTGGTGGGTGCGGAACCTGAGCGATCCACTAAGAAGTTGGCTAAGGTGACTGGATGAGGGTGCCTCGAGATATCGGGGAAGGCAGGGTCTGCCGGGTAGCGGCCACGGGTGAAGATATGAACCCCCTGTCCCACACATCATACAAACGAATGCGCTTTAGTCAGTCGGTCGGTTTCTCAGTCAGTCAGTCGGTCGTTCAGTCAGTTAGGGGCCCTACGGCCCTTCCCTCTTCCTCTTGTACAGGAAAGAGGTACTCAAAGAGGGCCCTGTCTACTGTTCAGCGGCAATCCTTAATGAGGTTTGAGCCCTTTGCCTTCTAGGGGCGCTCGGTTGGGCCTTGGGCTGTTTTGACGGATGATGATAATGCAGATGGGGCCTTACGATACGTTGGCAAAACTAACTTCCTCGTACATGAGACAGATCGTACGACGGGAGTTTGCGGTACGTCATGTTAAAAGGTTGTGATTGTAAATCCGGCTGAGACCCCAATGTCCTTCCTCCCCCTCAGCACGCCCATCACTCCACTTCCCCCTCTTTCCCCCCCTCCCTCAACCCCCTTCCTCCCAAAATGTAGACGGAGACGCGCACCTCCCAAAGCACTACTTATAACATCCTACCTGGTTACCCCCAGCCACCTTAAATGGTGATCTTATTAGTCTGAACGACTATACGACTAGACTGCCTTAGGGTTTTGCGCTAGTGCGGCTTACAGGGGGAGGGTAAGGGCATGCCCTCCCATTTTCTGTTGCAGCCCTGTAGTATCTGGCCTTAGTACGTATCGTAGACGATATGTGTGCCGTGCTACGTACAGCTGCTACAGAGCCCCCGCTGTCGCGAAACTGCCCAAGTGGAGGTTGGGTCCCCTGGGATTGGATGGTGCCCATCTGGCCTGCCTGCCTGCCTGCTTGCCTGCCTGCCTGCCTGCCTGCCTGCATTTAAAGTAGCTTTAGGCTTGCAGATAATGCCACGTCATACTAAGACGATGGCTGATGAGGTCATCTTGCTCGCAGGCGCTTACGTTCCCGAGTCTCACTGTTCGGTCCGCACATATTTACCGTGGTGCGGAGCTGTGAGCTGTGAACTCAAGCACGCCGTCGTCGTATGCCCGGTTGTGGTTAACCTTCCTGATGCACGACAGCGGCGGCGGCACCACCAACGGGTGCTGTTTGTTTCTTGCCTCATTTCATATGCCTGCTGCTGCTAAATCCGCTCCCCGCAGAGCACAAGACTAGGCCGGGATGACCTTGCTACGTTCATTTCGGTGCTTCATTCTGAAAAGCATGATGAGGAGTAAGGGCTCTCAAAACGATTCGGGAGACTCCGTCCTTACCCACGGTAGAAAGGAGAGGCTGGCTAGTAAAAAAACCTAAACTACCTAATGGACTCTATCTGTTCACTGTGAAGCCTTTTAAGCGGCATTAAAGGACGCTCTTACAATACTGGAGCTGCACCCTTCACCTCAGCCATCTTGATGGCTGGCGTTTTGGCGGTGAAAGGCGTTGAATCGTCCTAAAGAGCTTAAGGGAAAACGCCAAACCCCACTTCTGGATTTCGAGCCGGTCAGCAGAACGCGGTTTGACTGCAAAAATTCTGTATGGTGAGGAGGCTTATAGAAAATACATACTCCGGTTTGGAGCTTTCAGGGCTGGCTACGGTTATCTTTTTCGACGCTGATGAATTCGTCGCGTTCAGGCCATGAGGCCGATCACATGCGAGTTTCCGACCGGAAGCTAAGTACCATTTCGTAACATTCTTGCGTATCTAGAATAACTTATGTGACGAGGATTGCTTAGTGTTGCAGAAGGAAGAACAGAGCTTCGTTGCAGCATGCTCAGCCGGTGCCCCCAGGCGCGGTCATGCGTGCATGCCTGAGCATGGCTCTTGCACTGCGCGATGTTTGTACAACATCCGTGATGTATAGTCAATTCAGCTGTCAATTATGCGTAAAAAATTTAATGCATATTTATTTGATGAATGCGTTTAGGGTTCTTCGGTCTCGAAAGCCGCTAGGCGGCGGCGGGCGAAGGCGACATTCCGCTCCTTCCTGCTGCCCGTAAAATGCCCTTCCATGTTTGCACAAAATATAATTTCTAGCGTTCTGTGTGCAAGCATTGATTATCATTATTTTGCTGTGGAATCTAGCAGAACATCGGCGCGGTCAACTCCATCCGCATTCGTTCAAAAAGGTCAAAACACGGGCCCAACTCATAAATCAAGGTCATGGTGCTCCAACGATCCGTGAAGATTGTGTTTTAAGAATCGCAGCAAACCTTGAAGTTATAGATATCCAGTTTTGCAAGTTGGACCTAAGGGGAAATCGATCGCAACTTCACCTCTTGCTGCCAAATCGCGCCGCTCCTGGTAAAAGGAATAAGTTAGAAAACCAAATTAGCTCTTTCAATCATTCTTATTATCATAAATTTGACGGCTGTGCAACGACAATTGACCTCCAGGCCACCGATCAGGCCAGGCGCCAGGCCAGATGTACGTCACCCTGGGGGCAACCTTCGATTAACTTTTTGCTTCGTTCTTTGCGGATGATCAAGTAACTTGAAATTTGATTTTTAACCAGAATATACAACAATGACGGAGGATTCATGTAAGATGCAGCCTCGCGTATGCTTTTCTCTACACCAACTGTTGCTGCTGCTGCCAGTGCTTTTCGCCTGGGCCATCATTCTCGCAACAGACCAATGCACCTTGGCAGCAACAGTCAATCAAGGTGGTCAGATACTTGATAATGATCTCAGCAACGAGAGTACTGGAGACATTGCGAATAGTGGTCCGGAGCTCGCACGCAATTACATGGATGCTTTGCTCGCCGACCCCGCCGCTGCGCGAACAAAGCTCTGTGGAAATTTCACTAAGCGCAGCAAAGTGGCCGTCATTTACACGTGCTTTGAGAGAATGGAGATGATTCAAAAGTCGCTGCCATCAGTATTCCGCAGCAAGGGCATTGAAGACTTCGACGTGTTCATTTCACAAGACGGTATCACTACTTCCATCTTTGACGATGAAACATTCTCCATTCCAAGCAACATGCGCCACGTGTACATCCACCATCCAGTAAACCTATGTACGGGACTTCACATGCATTTTGTTAAATCGTTTGCCTTTGACATCATGGGGTACGACATATTATTAATTGTGGAGGAAGACAACGTACTTCACCCCCAGGCGCTTCAGGTACGGCGGGAGAGAGGACATTCGGGGGCCTATTTCCCCGCAGCTTGTGTTCTGAGATGCCGACTGCATCATGCCGTACCACGCCTCTGTCCCCAAGATCTATAACTTAGATCCATAACATTACATGGCATGTCATGTCTAGAAGGATACATAGGCATACGTGGCTTTATTACCGGGTTATTGTTACAGGCGTTATTGTTACAGGCTCTTTCCCCCCGTACTGCACATCTGGTTTAACCTGCAGCTGCTAGCCCGCATGGCCGAGCTCTCCGTTGCGGAGGCGGATGTCGGCGTTGTCAGCATCCTGGACATGGACATGTCAGCTTTCCTGGATGCGGGACGCTTCGGTGTGGGCCTTATTCCGGTCCGGCCCACCACTGGGCACCTGTGGGTGTACGGCATTCACCGCGTCAAGTACGACATCATCCGGCCGATGATGCATGCCTACTATGATGTGATAAAAGGCTATGATTACACAACCAAGCATAAACCGCCCCTGAAGTTCAAGATCGAGAGACTGTTGATGCAGCATGGCTTTCCGGCTAGCAGTCCGTTGTCGCAGGTGCGCTTCTTTTGGGGGGTTTTGGATATCACCTTGGCCTTAGGCAGGCGCGTTAGTATTCTTCCTTATTGATTGGAAGTTAAGATAATGAATATCCTTATCGCTGTGCTTTGAAATGAAAATAGCAGATGGTGATGAATCTGCCGTTAGGTGTGCCTTGTATCGTCGCCGGATATCACCAATCTTATTAAATTGCAGTTCTAAAACATATGACCCGAAAATAAAATCTCCCCCAAATTCCTGCCATGATTTCGCTTTTCATTTCTCTTCCAGGACCGTTTTTTCCTGAATTCCCTGGCAAAAGCCAACTTCACCAAGCGCTATCAAACGCTTTTCCGCTTCTTCGAGCCCATCGGCAGCTACGGGTTGCACTTTAAGCATAACAGCTCCTTCTTCCAAGGGATGTTTGGACGGAATATGTACGCCGGTACGGTCGATCCCCAAGCCGCTTTCGACGTTACGAAAGACCCACGAAACGTCGAAGCCATCCGTGATGGTGTACGGGAGCGCCTGACCAACCTTATCATGAAATACCGGAAAGCAAAACCCTCCGATGAGCTGGTCGGAAACACGTTCGACAGTTTAATGGCAGGCCGGTTGCAAGGGCAAACTGTGGTCCAGAACATTCAGGGGACAAACAAGGTGCCCCCTAGTCCTCCTCCTCCGCCGCCGCCGCAAACTGTTGTGGTGTGTACGACAAGCACGGGGGTGGTGTCTAACGGTGGTACGGCAAGGGAAGGTGGGGCAAGGCTTCGGGCATAGATGCTGTGAGAAGGTGATGAAACCGCTGAGGTTGACCGTTGAGGAGTAGCAGACGGGCAGATGGGAAGAGATTTACGGTGAATCTTCAGAGCTGGGTTGGGTGGATGGGAGGATGTTTGTACGGCGGTGGTTGTGAAGGGTGGGTTTAGCGGTTAATGGGGTTGTGCTGCCGGGAGAGTGTCCGCTCATGAGCCCCTCCGTTCACATGTTTTACACATGCGTTCTGCTGCTGGTGGTGGTGGGGGTGGTGCAGCTGCTGTTGCTGCTGCTTATGGTGATGCTAAGATGATGACGACGTCGAAACGACGACTAGAATGATGCAAATGAATATGTGTTTTGACAGTCTGGATGTGTTGTGTGGGAGATCCAAGCAGTGTGTCCTGAGGGCAACTATCGCTGTGCATGTGCATGGAATAAATGAGCTTGTTGTGCTGCTGCTTATAATGCTGCTGCTGCGGCTTGTGGTGGTGCTTCTGCTTCTGGTACTGCTGCGTCTGCTGTCGGCTGCCGTACTGCTAACTGAGAATGGAAATCCACACCATTGAGGGACAGATCGACAGAGAACAAATTGCTTGCTGCGTTCCAGGTTACGGCCATGATGACTCGTACTTGGTGGTTGGTTGTTCGTTGGAAGTTTTACAGAACCACTGCCGTACGAACGCATCAAGCACGCGCATCCTTTCAGGACTCATAGACCGGGCATCATAAGGAACACTACAAACTGCATGGTGAAAGTTGAAAAGTTGTTTTAGACGTTGCTGACCATTGTCGTGCATGTGAGTGAGAGAGTGGATGTGTTCATAGGGACGCGTAGTATGTGTTGCATCGCGCTTATTTCTGGAGGCCCAACGAAAACGAACGTATGTTTGAGGATGAATGAATGAACGAAAGGATTTTATTTGTTTTCTCTTTCTCTTTCTCGGGGCTCCAACAGCATTAGGGTCAGGACTCTGGAGCTAAGGACCGACATAGCACTCGCGCGTGTTTCTCTGAGTAGTACAGGAGTAGAAAGTGTGTGCCACGCGACATGTGACACGTGTAAATCTGTATGTATGTATGTATGTATGTATGTGTTTTGATTGCCTAAGAGAAAGAGAGAGAGAGTGTGTGTGTAGATGTGCGAGACACACACACACATGTAAATGAGCCGCGAGTGTGTGTGTAGATGTGTGTATGTGCGGGAGGGGGTATATGAGACGTGTGCTTAATCGCGGGGGGGGGGGGGGAAGGCGGAAGGGTAAAGAGATAATAAAACACGCGATCACGGACTGCGCGGCGCGTGAGGGCTTTTCACAACAATGACGGTAGGCAGCAGTAGAGGGTCGCTGTGTGAAGGTCGAATTAGAAAGATTTCCGCCAAGATTTCAGATTCCGTCGAGATTTGAAATATTTTTAACTTGTCGCCTTTATCAATCTCTATCCATCCCATCTGTAGCGTCAAATCGCGCCAGGACCTATAACCGTTTTTGGTACAGCAGATACGGCATGATACGGCAGGTTGGCAACAGAATCAAGTCAAGATATGTTTAAGAGACTTTTGCACCAACAGGTCCGAGTGAAATTACTACGCCACCTTCCATGTAAACATGCGGGCACGTTCATTCAAACCCATCCGTACACATATACATACATGCACACAAATACACACGCCCACAAGACATCGACGTTTCTTGCAGCTAAGTTCATTTATGTATACGCATACACCTGCTCGTACCCGGACAGAGCACACAAAAATATGCAAAATGAAAAAACACCCAAAGAGAACCCCTTAAACGTCTATATGTGTCATGTACGACACCAACTGCTTACCGTACATCGTACAGCCGCTAAAGCCCCCTGACCGCTGGTCCCCAAGCCACGGACCGACGTGGATCTCGGTGCTACGGAGCTACAAGGCCAACTACCCAAACTAACCCAACTAACCCAACCGACCGCAAGACGCTCTCTTCTTGCTGCCAGAGCCGCCAACAGGGATCTCAGCGAAACTCCGACGCCGTACGCCATCCACATGCCGTACGGGTGGATGCCGCAAAGGATCGCCAACGCCATGCGAAATCGTTGCGGCGTCGCTCCCTCCCTTCCTTACTATATCACAAGGGCCCCCCTTTCCTTTCCTCAAAACCCCACATCTTCCCGCACCCTATACCATGTTTATCTTCCCGCCCTGTCCCCTTTCCTCTTCTCCCCCCCACCCTAGGTTTTCTTCTCCTTTGAACTCAACGACGAAAATAGCCCGCTACCACCACCTCCACCACCGCGCGCGCCCGCCTTGTCACCACCGCCGCCGGCGCCGACCGACGGGGACGTCTTCACCGGCGTCGAGGCCAGCGGTGTCGACGGCGCCGCAGGCGCAGGCGAAGCCGCTGCTGCCGCCGCCGCCGCTGCCGGCGGCGCCGGTTGTTGTTGTTGTTGTTGATGTTGTTGTTGCGGGTTGATTGCGGGTTCTCGCTCCTGACCCGCGACCAAGTTGCTGAGGGGGAAGGTGGCGGTCTCCGGCGGCCTGGAGAGGGCGGAGAAGGAGCTCTGCCAGCGCTCCAGGAGGCGGGAGGCGGCGGTCTCCGGATGGACGGCCTCGAACCTGAGGTGCATAGGGGTGGGGTGGAGTGGAGGAGGAGGGGAGGAGGAGGAATGGGAGGGGGAAGACGAACCACAGACGAGTGGGAAAGGGGAGGAGAAGAAAAAGAGTTGGTACTGGTGGTGCAGCGGTGGTGGTAATAGCGGCGCCGTGATGTGGTGGTGGAGATATTGGCTGTGTGTAGGGGGGGGGGAGAGGTCGCTGGATAAAAGCGATAACCATAACCCCCACCGTTAATAAAATTCGGAAATATTGGTCGTGTCATACATACGGTACGGTGGCCGAGCGGTCTAAGGCGTAGGATTTAGGCTCCTATCCGAAAGGGCACAGGTTCAAATCCTGTCCGTATCATTCATTTGTTCCGGCATGACTTGCCATTTTAGTGAATGAGAGATTATATATTTGTACTCACGACTCTTTGAACTTATATGTACTCACGACTCTTTGAACTTATATGTCTAATACAGGAGCAGCGCGCGGTCGTGCAGATGGTGTTGGGAGCCAAAAGCTCAACTGCGCTTCTGCTGTGCCGCAGGTTTGTCGTAGAAGCCGCTCCAGTTTAATATATTGGGCAAAGTCAGTATAAGTTCAGTATTAAGGTTCTGGAACCCCGTGGTAACAAGGAGCCGGTCACTCAGTGTCATAGAGCTTTTGTCGCTGACTTGGGCCTGGCGCTTGGCAGCAACACAGAATGTTGGACGAGCAAGGCCACACAGCTTGGGCGTAGCAACCCCCGGACTGACTCGCGTGGTGGTGGTGACCGACCGGAGTGGTGGCGCATCATCTACCCTGCCATGTGACCCGTGTTGGACGTGCGAGACGACACCTTGTGTGAATCCAGGGGGGAGGGTCCCCACCACGGGGTCCACCACCGAGGGGGTCAACGAGGCCAAGAAGCGTGTCGTTACCTGATTGGGTAGGGGCGCCGCTCTGTGAGAGACCGCCCTCACCCAATGATTGCACCATGCCCTTATGTGCTTTAGGTTGGGATGTTGGGATTTAGTAATTAAAATGGTTAATAGCAATCCCAATGACCGCGAGCGCGCTGCACGTACCTGCAGATTTTGTGACTGCAGCGCGCGGTGAAAGATGAATTACATGTCTTTGGAGAAGAGAATGCCGTGTTTATGAGATGGCTTGAGGGCTAAGTATGGCAGTGGACTCGGGTTTCAAAGGCGCACGCAACGTGCGAAATGTCGCGCGACCGAGGCTCCCCCGCGGCCGCTAACTAGCTTTCTTTCTCTGGGAGACTAGGAGACACGCAGCGCTCCGGCGCTTTACGCTCAAACGGGGCTCGGAGGATGTCGACAGTCGTCCCTCCGCAACGTAACATTAAAAACATTTATGAACGGTCCGTGTCCCGCCGGCTTTGACGGAACCCTCCACACTTGTGTGGGCACTTTAACTTTAACTGTAACATAAGTTAACCAGGGCACTCACTTGGGACTATTGCCCGTTCTGTTGGGAACGCGCTTCACCATGCCCCAGCTCTCGAGTCGAGGGAGGGCGTCCTCCACGGCAAAGTCAACCGAGAGGTCAAAGTTGTTGACCAGGAAGCGCTCACAATCCTGAAGGAATCAGAGGGGCAGGGGAGTGTGTGTGTCTGTCTGTCTGTTTGTCTGTCTGTCTGTGGGTTTGCGGTTTAAGGAGCAATGAGTTAACAACGGATAGAAGGAAGGGGTTAGGAATGGAACTGTGGGGCGTTATCACACCTGCACTTGGCAATATGTGTCGTTCGACAGCACAAAGGAGAGGAGCTATAAACCTCAACAGCATAAACCACTTACCAAGTCAATCAACTCCTCCGTCAGTTCGGCTTCCCGGCTGTACAACAAGCCGTACGTCAGAATGGCTTCCTTGAGCTGCTGCTCAGCCATGTCCTCCAACAACATGGACACGACGCCTTCTTGCGCATCGTCCGTCTTGTCGTACAAGATGTTCACCATGTCCTGCGTACGGTGTACGGCAGATGCTGAGCGATTTACAATCTTCATAATAAATTATAAATATTTGGATTTAAGTGTCCAAAAGCGGAAGGATATATAACGTCCGTATAACGCCGTACAGTCACGAAGCAAAACAAGCCAGGGTAAGGCCGCCGAACGAGAACACGTGTGCGTTCGTACGATCGCGCCGTACACCTACACCTACCTGAATAGTTTTGGAGCGCTCCGCTTGCGCGCTCGTGTAGACCTGGCCGCACCGAGCAGCCACCAGACTGATGCTCGACCACAGGACGTTCATATCCACAACATCGCCCTGAGGAGAGTTGTCGTTTGGAAATAGCTATTTTAGCATGGGATTGTAGGTGAGTTTCAGATGAGGTTAGAGGATGAGTCTTCGTGGTGAGTTTTAGTCACGATGGTTTTACGAGGGTTTTAAAGCGAGATGTCGATTGACAGCGTTTCCTAAAGGGAAAAGCCAAAAAAGAGAGCAAAACAATGGAAAGGAAAGTAGGGCGCAAATTTCACCAAATTGCGCATATGCATGGATGAACAAAAAACAGCTCGGTAGGAATCGAACTGCGGAGGTTCTCTAGTGCTCTAGCAACTCTAAGAGATAAAATAAACCACTTGTAAACTACGATCTGGCCGTTGCTACTGCATTACATCGATTGAAACAAGATTGAAACAATGCACCGACTACTAATGGTAGCAGACACCAGCCGCCCAGGTAATGCGTCAACGTGACGTGTCGTACAACCTGTGCCGTGCTGTCGTACCTTTAACAGCACCATGAGCGCTGCCGCCAGCCCGCCGACGACAGTGACGACCATTTGAATGATGGTCAACATCTTCAGGTAAACCTGAGCATGTTGACATCGGGGTATAGAAGGAATAATTGACTCATATAAACTTAACAATATCACTACTTATAATAAAAGATTTATTCCATTATTTATTTCCGAATAAATCGAAGGGGGGTGTTCGGTTCTACCCGGGGATATGGAAGCATTCGTACGTCCGGTCGCCCATAACATCATTCCCCGGGCCCGAGTCGGCACAAACCCTAGGTCCCCTTGGTGCCGAAACGCCGGGGGTGGGGGCTCAGGGGGACGACGGGGATGGAATGGATAGTCCTTAGAACCCCCTCCCCCTTCCCTGCCTCACCCCGTTCCCTGCCTCACCCCGTTCCCTGCCTCACCCGCCTTCCCTGCCTCACCCCGTTCCCTGCCTCACCCCCTTCCCTGCCTCACCCCCTTCCCTGCCTCACCCCCTTCCCTGCCTCACCCCCTTCCCTGCCTCACCCCCCTACCCCCCCCCCTTGCCTTCTTCTCCGCGAATATGACGTCCATATCGGCCATTGGAATGTCGTGGAAGCACTTTATGTGGATGTTCCTTCCCGCCAGGATCTCCCGCTGCCGCTGCTCCAGGGGCCGCTGCAGAGCGGGCAGCTTGTGCTTCTTCCGCGAGAGGGCTGCCCGGTACAGCACCACCACCTCCTTGAAGGCGGGCTCCTGCAGCTTGAGCTTCCTGGGGATCGGGATGGCGAGGGGAGGAGAGGGGGGGCCCATATGAAAGAAAACAAGGAATCAATCAGAGGAGGAGAGGGGCGCGGGAAAGACGAACCACGTGAACGAGTGAAGCTGCTGCTGCCAGGGCAAGAGTGTACCAGACGTATAGAACTGACCAAGGAGTAGAGGGGCGGGGAGGAGAGGGAGGGAAGGGGTGCGGGGTAAGGAAAGAGGGACATAGGGTAATGATGGAAAAAAATGATAAAATAACAAAAGTGAAATTTTTGATATTATCACTATCACCATAAATAGGGATGGTGATAGCCATAAAAGAAATTTGGCCCCGAGAAAAAGGTGAGGTGAGGCGAGGTGAAAAATGTTAAAAAAAGCAAATGCAACATAGGAATAACCCACAAGCCAGCTTCCTCGCATCTTACTTGTGGAGGTTCTTAATAACCGCCCAGGCGGTTGGCATCAACAGTCGCAACGTCCGCCTCTCAACCACCTTCCTCGCCGAGTGGTCGGAGTCGGTGAGGTTGAGGGAGTGCTGGGGGGGAGGCGGCGCGGCCCGACCGCGAAGATAGTTCCACAACTACATGACGGGACGAGGAGTTGGGGGTTTGGGGGTAGGCGGTTGCGGGGGGGGGGTCCCGGGGAACGAAGAGGTAAAGAAAAGGAAAAGGAAAAAGAAGGAAACCGGCGAAAATGTGCAAAATAAAACCTGTAAACCCTTCCTAACAAAACAAACCTAAATAAAAAATAGACACATATACCAAATTGGAAACAAAAAAATTGAATCCAATGTGACCTTTCAAAAGAAGTACAGCACATTCTCATTCCCCCCCACGCACACACCGACGCGTCCACACATACACACACACGTCCTCCCAGCCCCGTCTCTACCCCCCCGTCCCCCTCAACCCCCCTTACCTTCATTAGCGGCTGTGTGATCAGGTAATCCACCAGCAGGTCCACTTTCTCCCCGGTGTAAAGCCCGGAGGCCTGAGCCACGGTAATGCCCCGGTGAAACACCAACACCCGGTCGGACAGGTCTGGGAGACGGGACCGCAGAGCCCGGCGCTCCGCAGTGGAGGACCAAAAGGTACGGAGCATTTTGTCATCGTAGTACGACCAGTTCACTGCGTGTGGGGCGCATGTGTGTGTATGTGTTTGTGTAGGGGTTGGGGGTTTAGGGGTTTTGGGGGGAGGGAAGTGGGGTTGGTGTGTTTGGGGTTCGGGATGTCCTCACTATCTATTGATTCCCACATGCATGCATACACACATACATACATACATACATACACACATACATACATATATACATACCAGACGGGCCCCAAAACACACACACGCACACACATCCACCCGCCCTTACCCCCACCACCAAACACACACCTTCCACCGGCAAAGAGAACATAAACTTATCCGCCTTGGCCAGCTCCCACTCCCCCGTGGTCAGGATGTGGAACCGGGCAGCCACCATCAGCTTTGGAGGGGGAGAGGGAGAGGAGGTGGGAGAGTTAGGGTTTTTACAGAGGGTGAGGGAGGCAAGGCAGGGAAGCAGGGAGGGAGGGAGGAACAACACGTCTATGACTCATCCTTAACCGCCCCCCCATAACCGTTAACCGGCAAAACCCTCATCCCCCCTCCTCACCCCCTTTCCTTATTCCATCCTCAGCCGTACTCTGCCGTACCTGCATAAAGTCCGCAATCAGTTTCTGTTCCGCAATGTCCAGCTCCGCCACCGTGGGCAGCCCCCCGCCCACACAGCTGATGAGCGGCTGGTCCTTGGCGCCCATGGAGAAGCGGAGGAAGTTGTGGCGGATATTGCGTTTGAGAGCCATGAACTCCTGTGGTGTGCGAGCGGGGGTGTAGGGGGAAGGAGGGGGTAGGGAAGGAAGCGGTAGAGGGGGTAGGGAAGGAGGGGGTAGAGAAGGAGGGGCTAGAGGGGGAAAAAGCAAAGAAAAGAAAAGCATGGGAGAAGGGTAAAAAAGGGACGAAGACGAATCACAGACAAAGAGACTGTGGAAGGTGGGAGATGTGGGACCTGTTATGGCCGTTTTTTTGTGCAAGTATATTTTTAAGGGGGAAGAAAGAAGAGAGAAAGGGTGGTGTGTTTTGGGAGTACAGGACGTGCGTGTATCGGGTGCATGTGCACTATCCTAGAAACGCCTTTACAAAAGTTTGTAAAGCGCATTTTCGTTTCGGAGGGGAGGGAAAGACGAACCACGAAGGAGTGAAGGTGCTGCCAGGGAAAGAGTGTACCAGAGGAGGAGGGGAGGGGAAGTTGACAGGGAAAGGGGGAAGGTGGGGATGTAGGGGATTGCCATGTCAGCACCAGGGAAGAGAACCATGGGTCGGAAGGAAGAGCGCTGCGAAAAACGGGAAGAGACAGAAATGCCGTGTGATTATGTGAAGGCAGGTTGGTTCTAATTGAATTAAATAACGGGCCCCATGGAATTTGTCGTAAGGTGAAATGGATGCAAAGTTGCCATCCGTTGATTTGTGCGTTGCCAGCAAGGGTCCTCTGCCCAGCTCAGACGGGACCGGAAGAGCTTCAAACGCACAGCGAGTCGCTTACAATTTGCAATATGCAAGAAGCGAAACGATTTCTGGTGCAAAGTGTCTTGTCTTCCCATGTCTAATATGCAAATGGCCCCGTCTACCATTGCAACGGCAGTTTTCCCGCCGCGGCGCACCTGAGCGTACAAGCTCTCCACGAGTTGAGCGATCTGCTCAAAACGTGAACGCTCCGCTATTGACATGCCAGTCCTAACGAGCGAATAGATTTCGTGAAACTCGACCTATGGCGAAAGCACGGCGGGCGGAAAAAGGCGACCAACCGCTTAGGCACCAGGAAGAGAGAGTATGTGACAGGAGTTAATTTCACTTACTGGTATATGACGATCAGGTGGGCACACAATCGTGCACCCCGTCGACACAGCATCCTGCTCTGCCTTCTCCTTCTTCTCCTTTTTCTCCTTGGACATTTTTGGCAGCTATCTCCACCAGTTACCGATTAAAGACTTTAAAAATGTAGTCCAGAGCCCCCTGCTGGCAACGAACTGGCAAGCAATCCTGTCGAGTATTATCGCGAGTCCCTATAATAAAAAAATAAAACACATATATTTAAACCCGAAACGTATCGGGCTATAGATGATATGATATCATGCTAGTTTCGTATGATAGAGGTTGTCAGAAAGCTAAGAGCTACGTCTATTAGCTGCTACTTCCAGAGAATGCTGTACTGGCGCAGCAAAGCACATGCGTTAATCGTCTGCTCTGCAGCTATAATTAAAAGCATAGTTTGGCTGGATGAATTATCGCGTACGTACGGCCGTACGTCGATGGTTGATGGTTAGGTCAGGGCACGGCATGGGCAAATCATTTCCCTCCCAGATATTGAATTGACAACGAATGCGTTTATCCAATTAAACATTTTTGGATACCTGTCAGGATGATTGATTAGGACACAGTGGCTGACCCCTTGTGGTCACCTATCTAACCTGAACCCAAGCCATTAAGGAGCCGAAATAAGTATTTGAGTATAAGCTTGTATATCGATACCAGGCTACGACGCACAGCGGCTGCAGGAGTGTAATTCTGGCACCTGAAGCGTCCAGGCCTTGACCCAAGTGCATGACATGGCGGACCCACGCACTTTAGGAATTGGATTGAAGCAAGCTGTCGATGTATTGTCTCTTCCGTAAGTCATGTGCATCTGGTGATGCTTGCTCTCTGTCCTGTCCGTAACGACCATCCGCTGTGCCGCTGTCTTGTTCTCGCGCCGCAGACCCAGCCAGCGAAGCCAAGCACAGGTTTCAAAACTTGCATCATTCCTACGTAACCAAGACGTAAGTTTTTGTCCGCCTATCCGTCCGGCGACCCAAGATATTCTTCACTGCCCGCCACAGTCCCACCCAAAAACATATGAGGTCACTCCTTGCAGGGCTTTTTTAGCGCTTTAAATAATGTCGACATTGAGGTTGTAGGCAAATGGCTGGGTAAGCTTTCGCGCTACGCACTCGCACTCCAACTGCCTTAACAAGAACCTATCTAGTAACAAATAAATTCCATGACCGACCGCAGGCTACGAATACATTTACCCATCTCAACCTGTCTACAAGCAGGGCGATTTCGGTGAAAGCATGTAAGATTAGCGCAAAGCGCCTTCTTGACGCAGATAGCAGTCTTACAAGTCCTGCACGAAATGGATGCCTCGGGGACGCCACCCTTCTGTAAAAAATTCCAATATTCCGACTCATACGCGCCTGAAACCATACGCGCAGGTACATTGTTATCGGGGGCGCCTGCGAATTCGTCACGCCGTTCGACTCGTTGTCGGGCCAGAAAGGTAGGTGGCCCATCAATCAGCTGTCAATCAATTCGCGGGTGTTAAACGCCGCAGGAAAGCAACCCTTGGATCCCCAAAAGACCTTAAATTACGTAAGCCAGCAGCTGTCTCTTCCCCCTTCCCAAAATTGGCCGTCCCCCCATTCCTCCCCTTTCCCCCCATTTTAAGCCCTACCAAAGGCTTCCATTTTGATATTTCGGCAAAATTAAAGCGCAATCAGAAGAGTATATAGCTTTCCTTGCACCGTCCAACCAACACCAACAAGGACATGCATGCAGACATAGCTACAGGCAGTGATTTTTTTTCATTTAGGGGGGGTCTCAATTTATTCCAACCTAAGTAACGAAGTTGCTAGCGTCGCCGTTATGTATTCCTTAAGAGTGGGGCGCTGGGGGGGGCTACGCCCCCCCCAGACCCCCCCCGATAAGTTACAACTCCCCTCATAGACCAAGAGGCACGCACTGCGTTGGCGCGTTTTCGTTCATGTGCGCACGCTTCATGCACATGCATAGATAGTTCTGGCACTGTTTGTGAACAAAAAGTAAATCCGACCAAGCCAAGGCCCAAAGCAAGCAACCGCATAGCAAATCAAAGGCCGTCACCGGGGATTTTCCTTCTGCTTGTCCCGCCATGCACCGTCGCTCATGCCCTTGCGGATGCGCTGTGTCTGAGCCCGCTTGGCACTGCGAGCGCTCGGGTTGGGCGCCTCGCCGCATTCGTTGTTGTCAAGCTGATTGGGTGACAGCTTGCGCTTATGCTGATCACAACCGCCATGGAAGGCAGGGGTAATGGCGCCCGTGTCATCGGTCGCCGCTGGCAGCAACATTGCCGATGCATTACCGACAACAGCACCGCCGTCCCAAACGCCTTTATCAGGAAAAATTTCAGACTTATCTTGCTGTTTTTGTGTTTGCTCGGCGTTCAAGTCGTTGCCTTTTGCGTGTTTGTCTATGGAAGGACCGGTCATACATTCTGCTATGCCGCGTTGACTCACGGGCTTGACCTTCTTACGGCCCCTCATATCTATTTTATGATCGATAATACTAAGTTCTGCACACTACGGAGCAATCTGGCAGCAATGGACGTTTTTGGCTGAAGGAATGAAAATGTACGGATCGGCCTCACTTTGTTCCTTATTTCCAAAGGCCAAAAAGGCCTCTTTATTCCTTAAAAGTAATATATTACTTAAAAAAAACACTGGCTACAGGCACACGCAGCGCATCGCTTACGTGTCCTCGTTTGTGAGTTGCAGCTTCTCGCATCCCCTCGTCCGATCCGCCTCCCCTCGTCCTTTTTTCCCCTTTTCTGCCCTATCCTGGAGCTTTGTCCATTAATTTTCATAACGTATATTATTGCTTTTCTGCTTCTTGCTTCTTGCAAGTATTTCCCCCAGTCCTTCCGACACTCACACACACACACACACACACACACACACACACACACACACACACACACACACACACACCCCTTTCCCAACACACACACACACACCACCACGATTACCCGGGTGCAGTGCTCCCCTCAGAGCTGCTGCTGGTGGCGGGTTACTCCTTCGGCGAGGCCGCTCTGGTGGCGCCACGTCAGCCCCGCAGTCGTACAGTGGTGGGCTCTCCAGCCGCTGGAGGGGCACACCTGGCGGTATTCAATCGGAGCACACTGAGCAATCTGAGGTTCATGGGGGCAGCGAATGTAAGAGGGAATATGCATGTTTACGTGTATGCATGTATGTTTGCACGTTTGCATGTACGCATGTATACTTGTATGCATGTATGTATGCAACGCGCGTGTGTGCGTAAAAGTTTGGGTGGGTCATGTTTTCCGTTTGTGTCGGTTGTGCAGATGGGCTCGATTACCTGAAACCAGTGGCTTGATCAACGATCAACCAACCACCCAACGAACTAACGGAATAAAGCTGTGCTATTGACACACGGCACATCGTACATCGGTGGTCCTGGACCCTTTGCTTCACTTCTTGCGTCACTTGAATGACACATCCACTTGCAACTTGAGCAGACACACACTCTCTCACACAGACACACAGACACACAGACACACAGACACACAGACACACAGACACACAGACACACAGACACACACACAGACACACACACAGACACACTCACATAGACACACACACGTCCACCCCCCCGACCCCGACCCCCTTCAGGCCGACACCAGCCACGCCCTCGAGGCTGTCCTGGCTGCGTGCTGTCTGGGAGTGCTGCGTCATCCCCCTGGCTCGCGATCCCCCGAGGAGGTCGACATGCTGACGGAGTTCATGAAGAGCATGGAGGTGGGCAGTCGTGGGGTGGGGTGGGTTGTGTGTGTGGGGGGGGGGGGATGGCGGGGGGGCCCCTGCCTAGGGATTGTATGATGATGAGTGCACGTTTTCGGCGCATGAACCGAGCCGCGAGGATGCCGCAGATGTACATGGCATGGGGTATGGCATATGGTGCATGTGCGCATGCGCACGGATGCAAGGGTGTTCGCCCGGGGTGGGGGTTGTCCCGGGGTGTGGGTGTGTGGGCCGTGTGAAGTGAAGAGGGGCGCCGTGCGTGCAGGGGGCCCGTGGAGGGGTCTGTGTGTGTTTTGTAGACCGTCAAGCCACGGTGCGGACCCCACATCCGTCCGTTGGCTTTCTGGCTTTGGCGTCCCTCCCTCGGCCGCTCCCTCTCCCGCACGCCCATCGCCAGTTTACCCCACCTCACCTCACCTCACCTCACCTCACCTCACCTCACCTCACCTCACCTCACCTCACCTCACCTCACCTCACCTCACCTCACCTCACCTCACCTCACCTCACCCCTCACCTCACCTCATTCCACACCACCATTTCGCCTGGGCCCTGCTACCTGCTACTGCTGCAGGCGTTTCAGAAGCTGCCCCCAGATATGGTATGGCGCCTGGCTTCAGACTGCTCACATGTACGACTGCCGCCAGGCCGCGTTCTCTTCGAGGAGGACGCTCCAGGGAACTGCATGTACGTTGTGGTTTCGGGGCAGTGCCAGGTTCGAGCCCGACCGCTGGCATTACGGCAAAAGACCGCGTCTGGCGGAGGTCGCGGACTGATGAGACCGGGGTCGCTGGGAATCGGTTTGACCATGACGCCGCGGCGGCTGCATGTGACTGGCGTCACCGGCGGCGGCGGTGGCGGGGGTAGCCGAATGTTGGAGACGACGCCGCGGTCGTTGGTGTCGTTCACGTCGACATCAAACGCGGGCGCAGCGACGGAGGCGGCGGCGGGGCCGGCGGCGGCCGCGCCGCCGCCGCCGCCCGCTGGCGGCAGTGTCGTACGATATCGAGCAGACGGCAAGGTCGCGACGGTGATGACATTGCCGGGGGACGCGCGGCGGCGGCGGCAGACGAATGGCAGTAGCGGCGCAACAAGTACTGCTGGCGGCGGCGGCGGCGGTGGTGCTGGCGGAAGCGGCGGCGGTGAAGACGACCTGACGGACGAGGAACAGCAGCAACAACGGCGGGTAGGCATGGCGGGACGAGTCGTTTCTATTAGATGTACGGATGTACGGATGATCCTACCATATGTCGTGCTTACGTGCTGAACTATTGAACACTTACTGCTGCCTGCGGTACGAAAATATACGTACATAATAACTACAGCTCGCGATGAGCCCATCAGCGCATGTAAGCTTGAAAATAATGCTATAGTCGGTTCTGAGGCACAGGCCCGAGGATTTAAATCTGCAGCGAAAAGGCCCTGGTTGACAAAGAAGCCTGATTAGGAAATGCCCAGGGGACCGGGCCCAAAGGGTGTGTTTCTTGAAAAAGTGCTGGGCGGGGTTCATGATGAGTGACCTCCAGATGTCCTGTGAGAAATCGACCCATGGGTCGGGCGGTCGGTTGCTTGTCCCTGCACCGCACACAGGCCCGTGTCAGCGCGCCACCGGCGGCGGCGGCGGCCGGCAGCACTGGCGGCGGTGCGACGGGCAACAAAGACAGCCCTTTTTGGATAGCCCGCTATATGGAGGATACGTTGAAGAGGCTTCACCTGTCCGACAGTACGGCAGGCCTGGGGCAGCAAATGACGCCGCTGGCGGCGGTGGCAGCGGCCAAGTGGCGGCAAGCGACTTCCGGCCGCCGCACCGGCGACAGTACGGCAGGTGGTGGCGGAGGCAGCGGCAGCGGCAGTGGGAGTGGCACCGGCAGCGGCAGCGACCCGGCGACGACAGCGCCGGCGGGGGTAGCGGCTGCGGATGGGGACGGGGCGGAGGAGGAGGGGATGGAGGCGTTGCTGGGTCGAGCGGCTGCCAGGGCCTTGCGCCAGGCGGTTTCGGAGCAAAGGGCTCGAAAAGGACAAAATTATGGATTGGACGCCGATGTGGCGCATGACGAGGATGCCGGAGGCGGCGGGGGCAGCAGCAGCGGTAGCGCTGGCAGCAGTAATGGCAGTAGCAGTGGTAGCGGAGCGGCCTCACGCCCCACCACCGCGACCGCGGCAGCAGCGTCGGGGGCGGCGACGGCGACGGCGGCGGCAGCAGCGCCTACGCCAGCGCCAACGGCGCCGGCGCCGGCGCAGGAGCACACTCTGCCGTCCGGCGGCGGCAGCGGCGACGGCGCCGCCGTCGGCCCTGCTGCGATCCTCCCGGCGACGGCGATATCTCCGGTGACGGCATCTTCGCCGTCGCCGCCGCCGCCACCACTCACCGCGCCCGCAGTCGCTTTGGAAGACCCCGCTAAGCGACTCCTTTCCAAAATAGGCAGTCGCGACCCAGCCAACGTCAGCCGTACTCTATTGGCGGAGCTCGTCCAGCGCGCTGACGTGGGTGTCGTACTGTACGAAGTCGCGAAGAAGCTAGTGAAACGCGGCGGCGGCCCACGCCGCATCAATCACACAACGTCCCAGCGGATCAATCGTGTACTGCACCACCAGATTCGCGCCGGACCAGATCAGTTGCTCCAGGGGACCCTCCAGGGCCAGAAGGTTCTCGGCCGCCATTCCAACCTGGCACCTTCCCGTACATCTTCCTTATGGACCAAGGGCCTTGCGGCTGCCGTACTGGTTTCGGCGCATCCTCCTCATCATCAAAACACCAGCCAGCACCACCACCATCACCCCCTCCGGCCGGCAAGCCGCCAGGGCGTCGCGCTGGTAACGGTGCCGCCACCGCCGCAGCTGGCGGTCAGCCACACTTGGGGCGAGTTTCCTTCCGTACAGGTACGTACGACAGCCATTGTCTCTATGTATGTGTATACGTCGGGGGAATTTTAGTGGCCGGTCAAAAGAGCTTATGGAAGAGCCCCAAGAGGTGTGATTTGGTTTGGTGTCGTACTTAACCGAGATCGACGGTCACGTAAGGCCCCCATATCCAGGCAAAGGTAGCTCTTCGCTTGTTAACGTTGGGGGGGTGGAAACCCTGCCTGCCGGTGTGTACATCTGTCTATCTGTCAGTCAGTCTGTCTATCTGTCTGTCTGTCAGTCAGTCAGTGACTCCGTTGACGAAACCAATAAACATGTTGAGTTGTACATTTGTCTATGGCATAACTAATGCTGGCACGACCAAATGAACATGTAGGGGTACGAGTACTCCCCCGCCCTCTCTCCCCCTTAAACTTAGGGCCCCCCATCTCCTCCCCCCCCTCGATGCATACACGAACTTACACAAAAACAGGCAAATCCCCGCTCCTCTCACAACCTCGCACCGGGCACCCGCCCCGGCAGCGCCCTCACCTCCGCCGTCTCGGGTTACGCGGACGTGGATGTGGAGGTTGGTGATGACGTGTCGGAAGTAGACTGGAACGGCAGTGAGCTGTACAGCCTGGCGTCGTACAAGCCCGGTACGGTAGGGCCATACGGTCGGCGCATGCCGGCTGCGGATGTGGACCACAGCGCACTGATCAACGCGGGTAAGTGAGTGAGTGGGTGGCGAGTGAGTGGGCGAGTGAGTGGGCGAGTGAGTGGGCGAGTGGGCGAGCGAGTGAGTGGGCGAGCGAGCGAGTGAGCTAGCGAGTGAGTGGGCGGATGGTGCGCGAGTGTGGGCGAGTGAATGCACGAATGAGCGGGCGAGTGGTGCGCAAGTGAGCGGGCGAGCGAACGAGTGGTGGGCGAGTGAGTGGGTGAGTGGGTAAAACACAAGGCTGGTTTGGGTTTGTGTCCCAAGCGCGCGGGGAGGGAGAGAGAATACGGTTTACGTGTCATACATGGAAGTTGTGTTTTGTTCGACTGAGACGCAGGTTAATTTAACCATCCTGTTATTGTCGTACAGCTCTTTCTTAACCGCTGCCTCGACTGGGCCCAACCACCCAACGACATAATGTGATGCTGCAGAGCATCTCAGCCAAGCGGAGTTGGAGTCAGTGTACGGCCCGGTCATCCGTACAATTACTCCCGGTCAGTCTTTTGGGGAATTGGCGCTCCTGCACCGGGATTCCCGCCGGACTGCCACAGTTATTACGGGTATGTCGTACATGCAACGGTCATGTAACGGATTACGGTTAACGGATGACGACAGGCACGTACAAAGCTGTACGCGCATTGTTCGGTTAAGGGTGCATGTGCGTACGGCTTACTTGGTTGCTGTTGACGATACGGACCGCTACAGTCGTACGGCTGTACGGGCAGGCGAGGCGCTGTGGACGATACGGACCGCTGTAGTCGTACACACAAACCCACGCGTCCCCCTTACCTTTACCCGTCCTTCCGCTGCTTACCCGCCACCAGCAGCTTCCCGAGCCGCCACTTCCTCCGTCGGCATCTCCCACACCACCACCACGCCCATCTCCCCCGCCCCCACGGTGAACCTCCATGACACCGACCAGCCAGTGGACCTCATCTGCATTACCCGCAACACCTACAACTATACGGTGCGAGCCAGCCAGGTAAGTTTGTATTTCGTTGTGTCGGTATGTCCGTATGTCGGTGTGTCGGTATGTTCTCATGTACTGAACCAAGAAGAAGTATGTCTGTATGTTTTCATTGAAGGGGGGGGGGTGAGAGGTACCTCTCAGGGGGCGCTGCTGCTGCACAGCATTTTGCTTCCTGGTGCCTACCTGACTGCTTGTCTGTCTGTCATTATGTCTATGTCTGTCTAATTATTTTATGTGTCTATATGTCTGTCTGTCTGCCCGACTGCATGTCCGCCTGTTCTACCTGCCTTCTTCTCGTATATATATAAAGACCGTCCCACCCCTCAGTCCAGCCCTAAAACGTTGTCGCGTCATCAAACTGTAGCTTAGACCAAGTATATGCGTACGGGAGACGAAACCCGAACGTGTCCTCTCTATCTCTCAACCCCTTTCCCCCCTCCCCCCTTTCCTTTTTTTTTACGTTTGCTACTATCTTTTTTGCTACTATCTTTTTTACGTTTGCTACTATCTTGCCCTGGCAGCAGCTTCAATCGCGTGTGGTTCGTCTTTCCCCCCTTTCCTTTCCCCCCTCCCCCCTTTCCTTTCCCCCAAACCCCCGGGGATGCCCCCCACCACCAGGTGACTCAGCTGCAGAGCCTGTTGACCTTCCTGGCACGTCTGTCTCCCTTCCGCGGGCTGGACGATCAGCAGCGGGCCAGTCTGGCGGTGTTTTGCCGCCCCTTGGAGGTGGCTCCAGGGGCGGTGCTGGCGGTGCAGGGAGAACCCGCAGACACGCTCTGGATGGTGGGTGCAACGGGGCGGCCGGAGCTGCATGGGCCATGGGCTAGGCTATACCCACCCTCCCATCTCCCTACCCCCCAACAGATCCGTAAATACGGCCATTGACAGCTGGTTTATTTAAATTTGCACATAGTTTATAAACCCCATATATATGCGTATTGCAGAAAGCCGTAATATAATACTGAGAAGAATCTCCGCAACGGTATTGTAACTAATGACTGTACGACAAACGGCACAACTGAAATGGAAACCAACAATTACGATTACAACCCGCCAACCTTCGCGTCACAGGTTCAAGAGGGCGAGGTAATGCTGCTAGACAGTACGGCAGCGCTGGTGGAGCCCATTTTGTCCCGCCCTGGAGCCTTGCGATCGCCGCTACTGCGGTACAAAAGCCAGCCGACAATGGCCGTCGGTGGCGGCGGCGGCGGCGGCGGCGGCGGCGGCGGTGCCGACGGCCCCGACGGTGGCGGCGCCGGCGGCCGCAGGTTGCTGCGGCAGCTGTCGGTTCCGGAGGGTACCGGCGTCGGTACGGCACGCGGCCTGCGCCCTGTCGTACCCGGCTTGCGGAAGGTAGGGTGCGCGGCTTCTACGGACGCATCGACGCGGCGGCGGCGGCGGCGGCAGTAGCAAAGCTGACTGATGCCCGTTCATTTCATGAGGTGGCGGGTGGGCGCCCGTCATCGGATGACGTCATCGCAGCGCACGACCACCTGGCGACTAACATGCCGTACCTGCCGTGGCTCCAAAACTTGTGTATATTTAAAAGATCCTGTCCACGCTAACTCGTAATCTTAACTGCAAAGAGCTCCCCACAACAGCCTTATACTCCCGGCGTGACTTCGATTCCTGACGCGTCCGCTTTTTTTGTCTCATTTCGTGTGTGTGGACTCCTCCAGGAATCTTCCGGCCGTCGGGTCATGTTTGTGAGCGGCGCAACAAACTCTAACCGCGGCGCCGCAGCCAGCGGTGGCAGCGGTAGCAGCAGCGGCGGTGCAGCCGCCTCCGCTACAGGTGGCGGCGGCGGCGGCGGCGCCGCCGACGGGCCCCCGCTGCGGTACATCAGTCCAGCCGCGCTGAACTCTTTAGGGGGAATCCTGACCCACATGGGGCCAGGCGGCATTTTTGGAGAAGGGCTGCTAATGACGGCGGGAGTGCCGG